TTGCAGGTGTGTAAATCCATTTTGATTGTTGGAAGGAAATTTTTTTTTGTCTGCTATAGGTTTCTGGCAAAAAATCCACCGGTAAGTGCGTCGCCATGCGATACCACAACTTCTATTACTATTACCAACGTAATATTGCGTCGGTATTACCGGCGGTGTTTACGACGGTAAATCAGTTAAACAGAGTTTTATCTTTTTTTCCAGCGTACGTTCCGCCGCTGTTTCCGATGCAACTATATGCCAATAATTCTGTTAAAATGAGATCTGAGAACAATTCTGTCATAAGTTCCGCAGCTATTGCCGGCATAAATATATGCCGAAAAAAGCGGCGGAACTTACGCTTGAAAAAGCTATTAAAAATGACAAATATGCCATATATTTCTGTCGGTACTACGTCGGAAGTATCGCCGGAAATGTTTCTGGAGAAATTATTGCGTCGGAATGTTATTTTCAGAGTGTGTTTTACTAGCGTATAGTTTTTTGCTAGAAATGCGCTGGAAAATAATAATTTATGGCGTTAATTCATTATTTCCGACAGAAATGTTTCGTCGGTAATCACATATTTTCCAGTAGTGCGTTCGGATATTTTCTCCTTTTTTAAAAATGATAATAAATAGTGAATATAATATATTTATCCAATATTTGATAAATAACAATATTTATTGTGTCTCAATCACTGGATGATATATCGTAAGGGGATTTGATTCGATCTCTTCTATAAAGGTTAACACCATCGAGCAAGTGCTTTGACAAACAATCAAGGATAGGTCAAACATCCTAGGATCTAGCCTCTTCCATACATGTTAACGTCATCGAGAAAAGACTTTGACAAACAATTTCTGATATGCCAAATATCCTGAGAGGATATCTCTCATATTTTCTCTAGAAAAAGTGAGCCCAATAAAATAATTCTCATCATAAAAATTTAAATTTTATATGCATTTGAGAAAGAAAAAAAACATCAATAGCTTCTTGCTATATCATTGAATATTACATACATCATATGACAACACTAAATACATCACACATATACAATGGTACGACCAACAACAGAAAAATACTAGCAAAGACCTTCTACAACTAACTCTCTATCTCATCACCATCAAAATCTGAAGAAGAGTTACTAGAAGTTTAGCTAGGTGATAACCTCGCAACTTCAGCTCTAGTCTTGTGCTACACTAGAGGGACATCTTTCAAAAAATATCTGATGAAGCCTTCCTACATACACTTAATTTCTAAGGCCTTCACCTCCACATCATATATATGATCATGAGCTTCCTGAACCTGATCCTGAACAATTGTCTTGAAGGCAGTAAACTTCTTAAATTCTTCTATGAGTTTGGAAGATGATTATTCTTATTTGGACTTGGCTTCCTTCTCAGACAAAAAACTTTAGAGCTTCTTTTTCTCATTTTTAATAGCTGTTATCTTCTCCTTAAGGATCTGTTAATCTTTCACATGCTGATTGATCACTGCTTGTGCATCCACCAACTCAATATGAAGGCCAACCATCTGTTGATTTTGTAAAGAGGCTGAAGTAGCCATAATAGCCAACACTGCTCTACACTCTGCTAGCTATTCCTCCACTGCCTTCATCTCCCTGATCTTGCCAACATATTTCTTCTTGTATTTTCCCTGAAGATACTTAACCCTTACAAACTCATTATTCCAATCATTTAAGTTCTTTGTTAATTCAATTTCAAGATCCATACGTTGTAGCATCTAAAATAATAAGAAGAAATTTTGTAAGGAGTATAACCTTACAAATATATTAAAACAAAAATAAAAAATAAAATGGAAACTCACTAATTCCTTAGCTTGTTGACGTTCCACACATTGATGTTTCAAAATATCTCCCGGAATATATGACTTGGATAGAGAAACGTGGTGACCTTTGCTAGTAACTGTCAAAATCTCCTCCACCCTTTTCTTCTTAGATTCATATGGATTACCTTCATTGCCGGATCATTTAGAAGGAGCCTTTGAAGGTTAGATAACTTCCTTTGGGACTTTGGCTAACTTCTTTAGCATATATGCATGGGATCTCCTTGTGTGAGTAGATGGTCCCACCTTGAACAAATATTCTTCATCTACATGTCTGCTTAAATAGGGCATCGACATCAGAATGGTTGAGTATTTTTAGTAGATATTCTGCTCTTATATGAAGGGGGATGGGTAACTTCTTCAGCTTCCCCCATTTCTCCAGTAGATATCAATCGTTCTACACAAAGAAGAATCTACTAACCCATCACTTTGACAGGTCTCAAGTATAAATATCCAACCACTTTGATCTAAAAGAGATATGATCCTACATATCACAATTAAGTTGATACATCTGAGAAAGTCACTTTGGAGATTATACCGCCCCATTATTTCTAAAAAATACGATCAATTCCATAATGATCGATATGGCCCTATAAGAAAGTTGGGACAAACTCACCACATGTTGCTGAAATATCAATAAACTCCACGCGGGGGGGGGGGGGGGGTGGTGGTGAGGAGATCTAGTCTTCTTCGCAACTAGACTCATACACACATTAAATCCTAGAGGAGGAGAGCAACCAAGATCCATCTTTTTAGGCACCTTCATTACAAGATCATTAGGGAAGTAAGGATAGTGGAGGCAATATCATCAGCTTTGGCCACTTTTTGAGCCTTCTTTAGACCCTCAGTTTGGACAATAGAGTGATCTCATTTGACTAAGGGCATTTTGGTGGAAGTGTGGTCACCCATTTCTAATAGACCCTTAGATTGGACAACAGAATGATCCTACGAATCCAACGAGCTCAAGATTGTTTAATTCTAAAATCATTAAAACATTCAAATGCTTAACAAATGCTCCACAATCAAGAGATTCAACATCAACCATCGATTCAAACCACTCCCAATTTACCCTCGATCTTCCTCCTATTTATTGGCCATGCCACTCTAAGAAAACTATAAATAAACCTCTCATTTCTCATGGAATGGGACCGAAGCAAGGAAGAGAAGGAAGAACAGAAACATGAGTTCTCTTGCCACTAGACTCCTTATCGATCACCGTTGGACTTTCACCTGGCAGTCAACTGACGCCGGACTTTTGCCTAATTGTCGACTGATGCTCAACTTCTGCCAGACCGTTAATTGAACTATGATTTATACCCGACCACTAAACGTCGTTGAATTTTTTATCTCCTCTTGTAACTGTATTTCAACCCGAGGATTGATTATTCTAATCTAATCATCCTCAATTTCAGGGACGAGTCATCAACTTGTAATCTAATCAAACAATAGTGGAATCATTTCAACTAGGTGTTATTTTTTCCTTTTTCAGGGTTTTCTAAGTAAAAATTATGGTGTTTCAATTTTCTTCAGTTTGGTTCTGGATATCTGTTCAGCACTGAGACGAAGATTCTAAACTCTATTGCCGCGTATATTTTAGCCCGCAACAGGTATGAACACCAAAGGATAAATATAATTCTTCTTAGTTTCCACATTTTTCTGAGCAAGTTCTCAAAGTTCTATTAAATTCATTAATGCATCAGTCGATCTCGCATCAATAATAAATTTTTTAATTTAATTATCTAATATGATGAGATCCATTTCTGAAAAAACTGATGGATAAAATTTTGTTAGATGTGACAATCGTTCTATATTCAAAGCTAAAAAATGAATGGCATTGATTCAAACATACCACACACATAAATAATTCCGTATTTATTTTATCAAACATATTATTGATCTCTTGAAGTTGAATATCTATCACATTGTAATATTATTTGAATTTATAATGATGTTTATTGATAGCTTAAGTGTGATGACTTAATCTTCCTCGCATTACAAATGTATCAGTTATAATTGGAATATTGCGACAAATAATCTCTGCTCCATAAGCACGCGAATTTTTTCATGATCATTAACCCTATAATATTTTTAAATCTTCAAAGTTTCATGCCACAAATTCATAAAATTTATGAAAGTGAGTGGTAAATTAGAAATAACAATTTACAAAAGGATCTATAAATACTCATTTCTACAAACTAAACTAACAATGGCAGCATTCTTTCATAAGCAACTAAAAGGATCTATATAATTCAATAAACAATCCCATTTAAAAAAAAAAAAGATGACGATAATTTTAATAAATAAGAGTGGTAAATTATAATCTTTAATATATAAGTAAAAAAGGCCGGCATGAGCTGCCTAGAAGTGAAAGATATTTCAGGAAATCAAATACCTTACACAATGATATATGTTGGTGGGATTACTAGAATATGACTCTCTTTTGAATCATCATGAACAGCCTCTATGACAGTCAACTGTGTAAAACTACATCGATAATTACATTTAATTATTAATGGGTGATATTTTTATTTTGAGTCCAAATTTTGATTTTTTTTGTTTTTATATGCTCTCTTACTTGAAGTATTGCACTATTTTTACTACAGTTCAATATATATATATTTTTTTTGTTACCCCGTTGAACTATATTTTGATATTTTGATCACATGAAATTATTACAGTTAGTCACCTAAAACAGACGTTTATTCAGAGGTCAATAAAAATCAAAACATAACTTAATTTCGCAATAATATTTAATGTTTAACTCATCCAAGGAAAATAAATCATATCAATACATCCTAATATAATACACATCAAAATATCAAAATATGTTTCAAATTCATCCCATTTATACTCAAATTAATATTATATACATTATCCTAAAAAATATGTCTAATCTCAATACAAATTATATTCTATAAATCATTCAAATATATTTAGATCAAAATATCTTGACATAATATTTTCCTATCTTATTACTTTTATTTTGTTCAATTAGAAGACACTGACATCAATTCATTATCATATGAAATTTTTTTGGTCCGCATATTAAGGATGATTTTTGAAATCACTAAACTTAATTTGAGATAATTATAAAAAAGAAAAAAAATTATATTCGTTAGCAGTCCAACTCGATTTTGTATCAGTTGCAACAAAGGAAAAATAGAAACAACAACTCATGCAGCACACGAATTACTTTGGTAACCTTTACAATATCATATCTATAAGATAGTATATATTACATGTGAGGTTCCACAAGCTAGCGTTCACAAGAACGATGAAATAAATTCTATACTCATGATGTGTTATTGTACTATATAATACACAAGCTATTACCCATCTAAAATGAGGGACTGGAGACAAGCATTTACTGCAATTGGAGATGCAAAAAAACGAATAAAATGTGTTTTACTTCAAATATATCTGCGAAGGTAATCAAGTCGAGCTGGATGTTTGAGCTTCATCAACGCTTTCAGCTCATGTTTTCGAACCATCTCCCTCGATACATTGAGGTTTCCTGCTATCTCTCCCAAGGTTCGTCTTCCTTTGCCGTCTAATCCGTATCTTTGTCTAATGACCAAGCTTTCCTTTGGCTTAAGTGAATCGAGCTGAAAAGAGAAACAGAGAACAAAATAGATAATCATTATAGATGCTAACTACTGCTTGAGAAATTTTATCGAAAAGGGTAACTTGGATTAGCGGATCAATTTACGGATTATTTATTTTGCAAATAAGAATGGACTGTGAACTTCCTTCCTAAATTGCACCATAAAAGGAGCTTCTAAAATTATCAATTTAGAAAGTAATACTGATAAAAAAGATGATTCCAGAAGAAATATCTAATAAGCGATTACCACATCATCAATAGCTAGACGGAGAGCAGGCTGTCTACGCTTGTCGCCACCCACACCATCTATGTCTGCTATCCCGTCAATAAATTCTTCTTGTGTAACTGTATGCCTTCCATTGAGAGAACGTACTGATTTTGAGGTCTTTAACACCACGTAGTATCTCTCGGGTGATATTCTCATCCTTTCAATTATCTCTTCATCAGTTGGTGACCTCTGGAGTTGGACGGCCAGTTCTAGTTTGACCTTCTGGATTTCTTGTCTGACCTGCAAACAGTGAAGTTTGTTTCAACTCTTCAGTTTTGTCTGATAAATTATTCGAAGCTCCACCAAACACGTATTCACAAGTATGCATGCAGATAACTGAAATAAAATACGATGAAAATATTAAGAAAGCATTACTAATCACTAAAAAATGCGTAGCTAACAAAGTTGTCTCTAACTAGGAAACGACAGAGAGAAAGAATGAAATTTGTAGAAAGCCGGAAAGAACAAAGGCATGATAAGCATTTATCATTACCTTTCGCCGATGCAAGCATAGCTGATAGTTATTTGGATAGAAAAGGTCAAAAGGCCCTATTGATCTTCTTATAGTTTTATAGTAAGGTTGATTACCTCTAGTGCAGCCATACAACTACAATCACGATAATAGCAATAACATTATGTTGTCAGAATAGAGTTTAATTCGAAGAAAGAAAGCTGTATTATGAGTTTATGTATGAGACATTGAGACTTATCAAATATTGGATTTCCGATACATTTTGTTAAGTTATAAAATATCATTGTAGTGCATAGAATATTGTGTAACAACTTAAGTTCTAGCAGCATAATGAAAACTTTAACTGGAACATTGTTTGATGTGAATAAAATAGTTAGATGAAAACAAACGAAAGCACCATAAATATCATGTTTGCATGGCTAATTCCTGAAAATCAAATGGAAAGCTACAAACCAAAAAAAAAATAAAAAATCGTTTGGGAAAATTGCAAAATTTTCAAAAGTTAAATGAAGATAACAAATGACCTAGTTTGGCAAAAATTTGACGCTTTAACCACGAGCTTGGAAACATACATATAACATATATGATCACCAAATATTTGAGCCTTATTAGATTTCTATACAACCCATTATAGCATAATGGACATGGTTCATGCTCTCATTGAACATTATTGGGATGATTTTTACTATATGAAAACTCAAGTATAACAGATGACTTTTGGGCATTTTTCAGATGAAAGAATATAAAGATGCCAAAAACAATTAGAAAAGTACAGTTAGAATATTTGAACTTCATACCGCCTCAATACCGAAGGAAACACGGGTGAAACTTGAGAGTGTCATAGATCTAACTATAGAATGTCGAATCCAAAAGAGAGCATAAGTAGACAACCGCAGACCACGCTTTGGTTCAAAGCGATCAACCGCCATAATAAGTCCCTTCACTCCTGCTTGACAAAGGTCGTTGAACTTTTGAGCATTTGCAATGTCTTGATAATGCTTGTTAATCACAAACAAGACCAGCCGAAGATTGTGCTGCAGTTTTGTAATATGAAATAACTATTCAGATGAAACTGCATTGAATTCTTCAGTGATACATTAGACTCTATTTAAGACAAGAAAAACACATAAACATAAAGAACAAAATTTTTTTTTTTTGAAGAGAACAAGTAGATGTCAGATAATTTATATGCAAACCCAAAGGAATCAAGTCATAGACACGTAACAAATGGTATACAAGAGGATCTTTTTCTTGGGATATTAGAATAACTATAATAGAAGAAATCTTAGTGATTTAACATCAGCCTGTCTCAAACTAAAGTAAGGTCAAGGTAACTTATCTAAAAGGCTTAAATTTATCTTTCACTAACCCCTAAGTTAAAAAACTTTGGAAGTGGCATTTTTGTAATGGAAGAATCAGAGAAATGTAGTTTACACACCCCAGGGAAATCGAACATAGCCCTCAAACATTCTTTGTCAAAGAGTTGTTTTTGGTTGAGAAGTAAAACCTTTTTGTAATTGTACATAAGGTTAAAAAAAAAAGAGTTTATCAATCTTAAAATCTACCAATTAAGCTTTAAAATTTTCGTATATCCACGAACTATGCAATTTTCTGTAGATCATTTCTATCATTAGCAATTATGTTGCCTTCATAACAACTGACAAACAAATTAAAAAAATAAATTTGTGCATCTTGTATCATATTAAGTGTCTATTTAACACGAATCAAGCAACATTCAAAGTGATGTAGCATTGGTATTAAACAAAACAAACAGAACTATTCGAGCAAAACATAAATATGCGAAGAAAATTTTGTGAGTAGGTGGGGTTGATCAATATCAGAAAATAAGCACAAAATAATATGCAACATAACTTCAGCTGATCGAGCAAAATGTAGAAACCTTGATAATTTTGTTTCTTGCAGCATGACCAACTTCTAACTCTCTTTTCAATTTTTTAACATTCATGTTAACTGCTTCTGCTAACTCTCCATTTGTCGGTTCTCTACTCAAGTCCCCATGTAGATTCTCTTTCACCTTTAGTATCCCCTATCCAGGAAGAAATAGCAAATGAAATTGATTAGGAAGGATTCACATGAAAAGCTATAAAGAAAATACACGGATCAGCAGAAGCTTCGATCAGAAAGCAAAAAGAGAATGATAGTTGCTTTGAGTTACATCAAAAAGTAAAATTTTTCTTTTCGGAAGTGCCATTTGAATCTCTTGAATTCTCCTTTGGATATCATCTATGGACCTCAAACATAATACCACTCTACTTAGAAGTCTGGAAGTATCATGGCATCTAAGTATTTTACTTCAGAAAAGAGAATACTTGAAATTCACTAGGAAGCCATTCCTAATCAAAATCAACTCATTTTGCCATAAGGGATAACAATGAATTATACCTAAGCAAACCACTGGGGTATAAATAGTTATAACGATTAGCAAAAAAAAAAAAAAAGAAGTAAAACAGTGCAAACTGAAATACATAATCAGCAAGAAATACTTGTCTCTTTGCTCTAAAATGTTAAACCAAAAAAAAAAAAAAATTAATTTTTTTACCAGAGACCAACCAGAACGGAGAATTTAAATGATAAATATTTAAGAATTCCAAAATCCCAGAAACTAACCCTTAGAAGTAATAAAAAAATAAACGAATAACATCTGGATCTTTTACCTTCGTAGGCTGCATCAGCTTGAAAAGCCACTTATGCTCAGCAAAAGAGAGAACTGGCGGAATCTTCATCTTCCTCCAATCCAAACTAACCAAGTCAATCGATACAGAATACTCCCTCAACAACTTATCCAATTCTACTTCCTCCATCTCCCCCTCCGTGGCCCTCTTCCTCACACCATCTCTGGCAAATACATCTCCTTCCTCCTTCCTTGTACGCCGCAAGGCAATCCTCGCATCCAAACTCAATCTTCTCATCCTCCTCTTCCCGTTTATCACGATCCCTTCTTCTCCCTCCACGCTCTGCTTGACCCTTTTCCTCGTGTGCCCCCCACGACCAAGATTGAAATCGAACTCCATGTCAGAAACCTCTGCCGGGCTCAGCTTATAGATGTTCTCTAGCGCCTCGGCAACCTCACTGTAGTCCACATCCACCGTGCTCAATGAAGGGGAAGCAGAGGCGGATTCGAGGGAAACAGACTGGGTTCGCTTCGGTTGCTTTCTAGATTTGGTTAAGGGCTTTACCAAGTTCGGATCCGATGATTTGAAGGCGACGATGGAGACCGGACGCCGCCGGAGCGGATGCGACCAGCCGGCGGAGTAACCGGAGCCGATGCCGAGGGGCGATGTCCTCGACGGCGTGCTGGAAACGGTGACTACGCCCATTGCAAGTGATGCCAAGCACAAACGTCAACGCACGCAGAGAATCCAGCAAACTTCCACTTAGAGCAGAGAAGGAGAACAGCAACAAGGAAAGAACAGGGTGAGGCTTCTGTTTTTTCTAGGAAGGGTTGAAATGGCGGAGACACTCTGGTTAATGGTTCACCTTCTAGAATTTTCTTGTCTGAGCATCTTGACACTTAAATAATAGCAGCGATAAGTGATAAGTATGCAGGGCTTAAACTTACTGTAAAACACTAAAACCATGCATCTTATCTTCCTTGTGCGAAAGAGCAGCAGGGCAAAAATATAAATTCATTAATTTGTATTCTTTATCGATTTCCATTGTCTTTTTTTTTTTTGGGACATTTAGGTCATTTAAGGCAAACTCACACACACAACGCATACACAGAGACTCGAACCTTAGACCTCTTAGTTGGAAGCCTTAGCTCTCAACCAATAGGCCAAGGAGAGTTGTGTCCGATTTCCATTGTCTTGTTTGGCTCTTTTTTTGCCGCCAGGCAAATATGGCTATACAGCTGAGTAATTCTTATGGGTGTCAAAATCCGACCCCACCAAAAACTCGATCGGGATTCTATTCGAGAAGTGTTGGGTCCGGGTCAACCCATTCATCATAAAATTGGATCGGATTCTGATTGACCCAAAAATCCGAATTCAACTCGAATTGACCTGGGAAAATGGCTATTGTGTCTAGTGCGTGTTGTGTGACCTCGCATGTCATCTTGTCGTGTCCGTTGGCCACACTTGCGTGTCATGTGACCTGGTGATCGCATCTGCCATTTAATCGAGTCGCAGCTGTCGCTGTGCAATGTCTTGCGAGACCGAGGTCCTAGATTGCTAGGCGCAAGTCGGCCAAAGTCGTATGCCACCATTTTCGTCGTGCCACGTCCCGCACGTCCACACAATTGGTCGAGTTGACCTCGCAATAGCAGGCTGCGCCTGCACTGCCTCAAGCCCTTAGCCTGCGCTAGGCTGCTGAGGGCATCATGTTGTGTCTAGCTCAAAGCTTGTAGTGTAGCGCATGTAGCTCAAAGCATGGAACCGTAACCCGCTTGTTTGTATCCGAGTTCGCGTGTCGAGTCGGGTCAAGACGACAACCAGCACATGCAGGTCGGGTCCAGATTAGGAAGCCTAACCCGTTTGCAAAATCGGGTTAGGTTCAAGTTGACCAATTTGTACATGAGTCAGTCATGATTGGACCTGAATCCGACCCGTTGACCCATTTTGACACAAGTAGTAATTCTCACCCAATTTAATGCTATACCTCGACCTAGTCGTTTAACTGGGACTTTGGTGTAGGTTGATATATATAGTATTGTGCATTTACTTATTTCAAATGAAGCGTATAATCGCATATAATTAAAGTAAAAATATATATTCATATAAAAAAGATGAAGTATCAATATCACATTTCTTCCTATTTATATATTTTCTGGATGTTTAAGACAATTTGAGCACAATCGATATAAAAGTTATTTTTATCTTCAACTAATAAGACACAGCTCGATGTACATTATAATTTTTATGTTTACTTTGATATAATAATTTATTTCACTTTATTGTTTGCACTCATAATAAGTATTAATAACTGAGAGAGTTTAGTAGATATATTCTGATAAAATACTTAACAAATATATGGAAAAAAATAGGCGTTACATTTATGAATAAAGATAATTTTAATTAAAACTACGTAAATTATCATTTTTTTATTATTGAAAATTATATGAATAGTTAAGTTAATTATGTCGAAATGTTTTTAAAAAATAATCACAGTATATATTGATAGAGGCGGCGCTGCGTGGCATCTGACGGTCCATGTTGGTTAATGGGTGGAATGAACGGTGAGATGAGGGCATACGTGGTCTGATTGGGAGCAAATGAGTTGGAAGAATTATCTGGTCTCAAGGAATAATAAATGAGTTCACAACACGTGGAAGGCTAGAAATAATCGCATGACATTTCCGGGATCCGACGTGGTGGGACATGAAGGGGGTTAAGGGGTAAAGGAGGTCCCCACGTTGCTAGTTTCCGAACCATATGATTTTCTGCGTGAGCGTGGTTCGAACAGCGAAGTGCAATGTGAATTTTGGAATCTATGGAGTAGCCTTTGCCAAATGAACAATTATTATGTCCTCTGATCTGACGTAGAGGTACGTTCGGCCGTCAATAACATGTCGCCACGTGCTTTTACTCTTTACCGCGCGGCTTGACGACTTGACCCGGAGCGGAACCCGGGAATGCTATGTTCGCGATTTTCTCGGTATTGCTCGGTATTTGCTCCGTATTGCTTTGCAAAAATGAGAAATACCGCTCTGTGAACACCAAAAATATACAAATACCGAGTTGTACCGAGTTTTTCTACAACTCGGTACAAGTCGATACAACTCGGTATTTGCTCCGGATTTGCTCGGTATTGCTACGGATTTGCTCGGTATTGCTAGGTATTTGCTCGGTATTGTTAGAAAAAACTCGGTACAACTCGGTATAACTCAGAATTTGCTCAGGATTTGCTCGGTATTGCTAAGGATTTGCTCGGTATTGCTAGGTATTTGCTCGGTATTGCTAGAAAAAACTCGGTATTTGCTCGGTATTGCTAGGGATTTGCTCGGTATTGCTAGGTATTTACTCGGTATTGCTAGAAAAAACTAGGTACAACTCGGTATTTGCTAGATATTTAAAATATATCCAAAAGGTGATGGAATGTTGATCGGCTCGTCAAGGAATTAAAAAAACGCACGCGCTAGAACCCAAAAAATAGCGGGTCGGGTCGGCGACTTTTCTTCGTGCTACGTGGCGCTAAAAGGTTGGTGGCCGAACGTAGAGGAACGTACGTTCACCGAACCAAATAATCTCTCTCTTGTGCTAGTTTGATTAGCTTTTATTTATGTTGGCAAGCTAAAATTTATAATAATAATTTATAAAGTTGACAGATTTATTTTAAATAATATAATAATTTTAAATTCTAAATAAATAAATTTTTATTAGGATCCATTTTTTTCCCTAAAACTCAATATTATTTTTTTGACCAAATGTTATATATGCAAGTAAAATATTAGAAAATATTTAGCAGACAGAAAATGCACACGTTTCCTGAGCGAGCTGCTCTATGCTAGGGTTTTTCTCTTCCCACCAGGTCCCTGTCTTCTCTCGCCTCTACTTTTCCTACTCCATGGAGCCTCTTTCCTACATGGACTTCCCCCCTCACCCTTCCTCCACAGGAGGATCCTCCACTCCTCCTGCCAGAAACTAGAAAAACATAGTGGTTTAAGCTGACCTAGTCTCCAAAGATCTCCCGGTGTCTTTCCTCCCTCTAGAACCAGCCTTTATTCCTTTTGCAGGAGAAAGATTAGTGAAGGGCTCAGAGCACTGGAATATATGCTTGGTAGGTTATTTTATTGGTCGACGGCCATACTACGAGGCCCTTTTGGGTGCAATTCGGAAAGCCTGGACTCTGAAAGGATCGTTCCAGCTCTTATCCCTCTCTGAAGGTTTCTTCCTTCTCCATTTCTCCACCACGGAGGACTATGAGATGGCCTGGTCCAAGGGTGTATGGTTCTTCCTGAGTAAGCTATTCCTTCTCCAGAAATGGTCACCTAAATTTCGCCCCATGCGCAAAAATTTTTCTTCTTTTTCTGTTTGGGTAAATATCCATAATTTATCGTTGGTGTGTTGGAATTCCGAAGGGATTTCGCGTATTGCTAGCAAGACAGGAATCCCGCTTGCTGTAGATGCTCTCACTGCTCAGAGGACCCACCTCACCTTTTCCCGTGTCTGCATCCATGTCACGGCGGATGCTAGCTTTCCGGAGGAAATTCCTATCTCTATTGAGGATGAGGTATTTAGTCTGAAAATCCAATATGAGTGGAAACCTACTATTAATGATTTTTTCAAATCATTAGTTCATTCTTCCTCTTCTTGTCCAAAAAAACCTGAATTTCCTAATATCCCAGTTTCGACAGAGCGAACATGTCGCGTGGTAACTCTTTTCATGACCGGAGTAGAAGCAGAAAACCCCCTCCCTGGCCATCTAGTCATGTTGCCTCTCCCATAAAACCACCCTATATAAGGCTACCTGTCTCCAATCCTCCTCCTGCTGCTGCATCAAGCTCTTCATTGAAGCAATCACTCCCTACTATTGCCCCCCAGCCCATCAACCCAGAACTTCCTCTTTCCCCCCTCTACCTACTGCCCCTACTGCCTTGGTTACTACATCCCCAATGCCTCTCATTGATGACCTGCCTGCTCCAAACTTAACAAATTTAAACTCCCCTACTGATGAGGCCTCCTCATCCACCAGCACTCCTTTGCCAACCTTACTACCCTCCACCAAATTTCACTCTACCAATAAATTCGAGGCCTTACAATTACTACATGATGAATTGGTTTCCTCGGTTGCTAGCTTATTTCTGTAAAGGAAATCCCGGCTAATGTTGTTGACTCGAAAGTTTCTATCATTTCCAACCGATCTCAATCCACCAAAACTACTAAGGGGAAGCAAGACAAAAAATCCCCTTCCTCTCATAAATAATCATGTCCGTGCCTGACATTACTTGCTAGAATATTAGAGGTTTAATAGTCTAGACAAGGTCCTCTGCTACAAGCGTTTGATTGCATCATTTAAAGTTAACATGATATGCATATTGGAGAATAGGATTCACCATTCCTCACTCCAACACCCCTTCTTCTCTGATAATCACAAGGTCTTCCCATTTGAGGATTCCTATCATAATTTCGAGCTCTCTTCTTCTGGGCGCATTTGGATAAAGTGGAACTCTTCCAAAATTAAATTCACACCATCTTATATCTCTAAGCAGATGATCTCGGGTTTGGTTGTGTATAGAAATAGCCCTCCTTTTACACTCTCAGTCATTTATGCAGTTAATGATGCCCTTGATTGATCCCGTCTCTAGGACTCTATCAGATCCATTGTGCCTGATCAAAATACCCCATGGATTCTCATGGGGGTCTTTAATTGTTGTAGATTGATAAGTTAGGTGGTAATGACTTGATTCAAAGAAGGCTATGGGAGTTAACTCTATGATTTTTGATGTCAAGCTTAAATAACATCATTCTGTTGGTAGCGTTTACACCTGGTTTAATCAAAGAATTAACAATCCTATCCATGTTAAATTGGAAATAGTTCTTGTGAATGCTAATTGGAATGC